ATCTCTCTCTGTCGTATATCTAACTAGTGTGTACCCGCGACTTCGTTCGCGTCGGATTAATCATTTGTAATGGTGATGATCAAGCAAAGCAAGAATTTCCATTAACATACAAACTAAGATAAAATTTTCTTACATGTATGTCAGCATGAGAAAAAACAATATGGCGATTTTATTATATAACTTGGTATAATATTTGAGGGGTAGTTTCATCTCGTTGGAATTTGACTTTCGAAAAATCCGTTTGCCAAAAATAAGCTTTTTACGTCAAGCAGTTTAAGCAGAATCGTGATTAATCAATTACCCAACTTTTTGGAACACCCTGTATGATTTTTTAAAAAATTTCAAAATATGTAAAAAACAAAATCAATTATGTGTCCAAGTGTTTTCCTTGAAAGGCTCGCCGTATTTAAAAAACAAATATTGTAATATTTGTGGGTCGTTTTCACCCGCTTGGAATTTGAAATTCGAAAACCCCTCTTTATCGAACCTCTACACCCCACAGTCAATCCGTTTGCCAAAAATCAGCTTTTTAAACGTCAAGCAGTTTAAGTAGAGAATCGTGATTACTCAATGGTTATATTTTATGAAAACACCCTGTATAAATTTTTAAAAAACTTTAAAATATGTAAAACAACAAAATAAAATATACATGTTTAAAGAGTTTTTCTGAAAAACTCACCGGTTTTTTAAATAAAAAATATTCTAAAATTTGAGGGGTGGTTTCACCCCTTAAATTCAGTTTCGAAAATCCTTCTTATCGAACCTCTACACCCTAAAGTCAATCCGTTTTCCAAAAATCAGCTTTTAACGTCAAGCGCTTTAAGCAGGATCGTGATTAATCAATGACCAATTAATCAATTTTTCGAAACACCCTGTATACATTTTTAAAAAAATCTTAAATATGTAAAAAGAAAATAAAATATACGTGTTCAAGCATTTTTTTCGGAAACTTGACCGTTTTTTAAATATAAAATATTCTAATATTTGAGGGGCGGTTTCACCCCTAGGAATTCGAGTTTCGAAAAATCCCTTCTTATCGAACCTCTACACCCTAAAGTCAATCTGTTTTCCAAAAATCAGCTTTTTAGTCAAGCGCTTTATGCAGGATCGTGATTAATCATTGACCGTGATTAATCATCGAAACACCCTGTATACATTTTTAAAAAATCTTAGAATATGTAAAAAAAGAAAATAAAATATACGTGTTTCAGCGTTTTTTCGGAAACTTTACCGTTTTTTAAATAAAAAATATTGTAATATTCCACCCCCCTTTTTACCCCCTTAGGGGATGAATTTTTAAAAATCCTTTCTTATCTTACCTAAACATCATAAAAGGAACCCCTGTGCAAAATTTCAGCTTTCTAGGGTCAAGGGTTTGGTCTGGGCGTTGATGAGTCAGTATCAGTCAGGACAGTCAGATTTATATATATAGATGTACATCCAGCTGAGATATCCAAACATGCTTATGATAATAAAATATCCTAACAATATCGTTTAGATATTTAGGAAAATTAAATAATGTACTACTTTTTATATCACATAAAATGCAATAAACCATACATATAGATGTATATTACGTCAAGTTAACAAAATATCCTGTTGGTATCTTCTGGATAATTTGTAGCGATGGGAACTATCGAATGAATTAGACTATCGAATGGTTACTGAATGAATGATTTCAACTATCGAATGGTTTTATTCGAATAAAATCATTCATTCATTTGTATACTAAAGCATATGTGACAACCTCGCCGTGCGACTAAATGGTTTTCGTTGAGCCACGACTATCGAATGCTTTTGATAAATGAAATTTAGTATTCGTTTGATTTTTGTGTGCGTCAGTGCACTATTAGTTCTTCCAAATTTTTATAACTTCACCTTATAAATACTGTGCTATTTTTGCGTTTATTAAAATATTTAAAATATTAAAATAGTAGTTTTTTTAATTGACGATTGTGTGCGTGTGCAGGTGGTCAAAATTTTTCCGAAAGTTTGTGTGATTTTCCGTAGCCCGATCTTTCAATTATTTAATTTTATATGGTATATGGTCTATTTTTTAATGGGAAATTTTGAGAAGTAGCAATTTTTAAGAGAGATGAGATGAACTTACAATTAATTTTAAAAATACATATTTGTATTTTAGATGTTTTAATAATATGAATTAGTTGAACTTAATAATTATATTAATTAATGTGGTTAAGTAAATGGTTATCGAACTCAGACTATGGGGTGAGAAAATTAAATTAAAAGTTTTACACGTGCCAATTTAAAAAAAAGTTAACGATGTTTGTATTTTGTTTATGCTAATTCTCTTACATGTAGTTTTTTGCGAAGAAATATTTCATTTATTTTTTAGTAAGTAAATACCAGTAAAAGTAAATATTATTATTATTAAATAGTAATATAAAGTACCGAATATAAATAATTTTGATTTCTAATTTTTATTTATATTTTCCTTGCATTACACTGCACGCTTAGAAAATTAATAAATGTTTATATTTCATGATTTTAAAATTTGTTGTTAATATAACAAATTAGTTCTGTAATTATTATTATTTAATAAACCAACGTTGCCACAAAAAATTGAGAGACTATATTATTTTTAAATAGGATCTAATATAAATAATTTTGACATCAAATTTGTTGTTTATATTTTGCTACTACTTAAAAAAAATGTTTATATTAAATGATTTCAAATTTTGTTGTTAATAGGTATAACAAATTATTACTGTTATTATTATTTATTAAACCAGTCTTTGCTTAAACACATTAAAAATAATTTTCCTACATCCAAAATAACAAGTATTATTGCAGTGTAACAACAGAATATTAATAAAAAAATATAAAATATATAGACATACTATCCCTAACTAACTAAGCCAAACAATAATATTCTTTTAATATCAACTAACCAATATATGGCAACAGCGCCCTTCATAATGTATTTTCAGTGTAAATACGAGCACCTCAATAAAAAAAAAATAATGTGTCTTAATAATAAATAATAATCTTATATGACTCCCGCAAAAATCAAAGATGCCAAAACTTCTTTCATAGCATTGCCACCGACCGCCGCTCGGAAAGAAACCTCCCATCGCCGGGCGACAACCTAAAATCCAGTTAATATTTTATTATAATCGATCCTGACGAATAAATGAATTTCATAAATGAATTAATCTTATAAATGAATGGTTTTTGCTGCCGAATTACTAGAATACAATATTTCAAGGCAGATGACGCATCTATTCGATAATTTTTATTCGAATAGCTTTCAACGAATGTTTTTTTACTAGCTATCGAATTATTCGAATGAATTGCAACTATCGAATGTTTCGATAGTATTCATTCGATAGTTCCCACTACTAATAATTTGGATATTTTTGAGCTTGGCCATGCACTCCTAGTAATACGGAGAATTTAAAACGCCCGCGCAAAAATGTCCCACAATCTATCTCGACAGTTGTTTGTTTTTGCATCGTGTGTTATAGTATTATTCAGTTCTTTGATTTAGTGAAATTCGAGGTGAATTCAGTCGTTTGTCGATATTGAATGGGCTTAAAAATGACTGAAAGTAATTGGGTGACTAAAACTGGTTGAGTTTCACTTAGTTTTTTCTTATACTCAAGGTGCGTATTCATTATCCGAACGAACGAACAAACGAACGAACGAACGAATGAAAGTGCGGTATATTTAGACGGGGACCGAACGCATGCTGCCGTCGGTTCGTTCGTTCGCTCGACCATCCGTTTCGAGTCGGTACATCAAAGGCGTTCGCCAACAAATGCCTCCGGTCTTCTCGTGCGGTCCCCGTCCATACCACTAGCGAACATTCGTTCGTTCGTTCGTGCGGATAATGAATACGCACCTTCATAGTTCTAGCGTTGTTCTAGCAGAAATTCTATCCTAACCTCAACTAATGTCGAAAAACGACGAACGACTCAGGGTCTCACAATGAAAAATTTGTGACAAAATTATAGGTGAAAATTTGTTGAAAAGCGCTTGTTCTTTATCCCTAAACCCATTTTCGTGTTTGATCTATTCGAACAGAAATCCTATTTTTGTGTTTAAATTGTGAGTTTCTGGAATGTGTGGTGTTAGAAATTATACCTGTATCCTGTGTGCTTACTTTGATTTTACTTACTTTGTTGCTGCTAGACGCTAGACATAAACTGCTAGACTCCATAAAGGGTAGTATAAACTGGTATAATACCGTATGATCGAGAAAAAACGGCGTCAGCGATGGCTATGAAATGGAAAAGAAAAGGATGAAGTAAGTATTGTCAAATAACAGTCCTCATATAATATCCCAAAAATATTCTACAATGCTCCCAACATCATCCTTGTATTATCCTATAAATATCCCAAATAATCGAAAAAGGCTTGCCTAGGGACGTCTTGAAGATTACTTTTTTTGTCCCATCTGGATATCCCAGAAATATCCTCCTCTGGTTTTTGGATATCACTAAGATATTTACTATATCCTTGGTGAATATCCTCAAGATATCTATAGGATTATGTTGTGTTATATGGGTTGTGTATATTTCACATTTTGTGAAAATGAAGAATAAATTTTAAATTTCAATAAAAGCTACCTAAATAATTGGAATTTATCCGATATAGCCTAAGATGGCTAACATTATAACATATAATAACATTAACATTCTACTGTAAATCAAATTAAAACTTCATCAGAAAAATATTGAACAGTGGTTACGTTTAAAAGCAAGTTACTCTTATATTTTAAATGGAACACCTAGTATATTATTCCGCTATTCAATGCAGAATATTTTATAAAGGAAAAGTTGTCTACCCCTCAGACAAAGATTTTCCTAGATATTTTCATTTTTATAATTTAGTGTGGATAGTCCTTTATTATTTATTTATCTTTGAATTTAAGTAATATTATATCATTAGGGGAAATAATGTTTGTTTTGTACACAGAAAGATTCAAAAATAAAACACGTATATTTTACCATAAACAAAATTTATTTTTTCGTATAAATAACTAATACAAGCTTTATACATTATGGCACTTTGAGAATAACCTATTCTTTTTGGCAAATTGTTTTCAAATTGCCACTTTCCAAAAAAAAGATAAAATAAGAAAAATCGCGACAAACAAAAAAACTATATACATTTTCCATTTTTTTAGTTAAATTCTAACTAATTCGTACAGAATCTTAAACATAGATCATTTTTATTTTCTTTAAATAAACATATTATATATAAACTTTGGATTGGATCCTTTGGTTTTGCAATACAAAATTATAGGTACATTTTGAACACTGTTCCACTAGATACAGAGCGCTAAAAAATTCGCTAATTTTCTCATAATAAACAATAAGCATAATCTCATGCTTCATTCAGAAGCTTAACATTAGTGGAATAAATCAGTGAATTCAACAGTGGCGGCCCGTCAGGTGAGGCAACTGAGGCGCCGACTCACCTCGAAATTCTATCTTTTAGTAGTACACAAATTTATTTCCAGCTAATCGTATATTTATATTATAGCAATATTAATATTGAATAATTTTATTAAAATATACCAAGCTTTTTACTTTTCGACCGGTCTAAACCAACCGATCGCGCCATATCGTTTCTGTTTTAACTGAACTACAATGCGTCTTTTCGTTCTGCGTTCCTGAGGCGTAATTTTTGCCGCCTCTGCCGACCTTTTTTTATCAATGAACTAAAACGTCACACATTGAAATCAGTGGGTCGGGGAAGCGGAGGGAAAGCGTGAAATTAGCTGCTGCAGAGGCGACAGCCAAATCGCTTAAGTGCAACGCTGTTGCCAGATTCATGAAAAAAATCCATTCTTTACAAACTTGATTGTTAAGTTCAAAAATAGTTCGTGCTTGATATGGCTGGATAATGCGACATTATAATGCTCTTTGTAATTAAAATTAATCTATTAATTGATCTTCACGAAATACCCCATCAATAATTATGGAAATAATATCGTATATCGAAGAGAGTATAGAATAAATTTGAAAAATATGAACTCTTGGCATCCACGCAATACTGGTCAAAATAATTAACTTTAGATATTTCGGGGAATTACTAAACGTCACGTCTGTTCGGTCGGTTTGTTTTATGCTTTTGTGAGTAGCAAGTAGTGTGATCTAGCCGTAATTCAGAGTTTAGTGATTTATTTTGTAATAATCAGACTTTAAAATGAATCATGTACATGACATTGTGATGTCCCTTCTAGAAACCCCGTTTTCCAGAAGACAGGAGGATGAAAAGCGAGAGGTCTTATAGGGAAACAGACCTACTCCCCAGATAAGTGTTATAACAAATGATAAAAAGACAAATTAACGATCCCGATTACAAGTGTTCAAGTCGAGCGGGATTTTTCTTGTCTAAGACGGATAAAATTTTACTTAAGAAATAGAATGTTACAAGATAGACTTTCTGCTTTGTCTTTATTTTCAATTGCGCTGTTGGTTACCCTTAGTGAGAACGAAGGGAAGTTTTATGATGACATAGTTGATAAATTTGCTATTTTTAAAGACAGACGAATAAACTTAACCTACAAGGAATAATTCTTATACAATTACATTTTTTAACTATTTTTTACTTGTTTGTTTCTTATTTATGTCGTCGCGTCGCGCGTCGTAGAGCTTGATGTGACAAATTCCGTCTTACTAACCGAACGAAAACCTCAAATTAGAGCTGTTATATTACGATCATTAGATTAGTTAGCTAATACCTAATATATGTTTAAGTTATATTATTTATACTCTGAAGAAAAAAAATAAAGAAACAGTTCCGATGATGACTTTTTTAATAAGTTATGCTTACAAACTTATTATATCTGAGGAGCAAAAAAATCTCTAGCTTATTGTTGCTTAGCTGCTTAAAAAAACAAAAAGAAAATAAACACATAAAAACAAAAAAAAGTTCTTATGACATTTTTAGTAGGTTAAACCTTCAAACATATTATATCTGAGGAACAAAAAATATTAAACTTGTTGCAGCTTAGACCCCCCCGTCGCCTCATCAGTTCTAATGGTCACGAGCCGCTACTGGAATTCAATTATATTTAACTTAAGAATTTGTGATCGTTCACGATGCATAAAAAAATCTAATTAAAATTAATAAAATATCCTAGCAATAGAATATTCACAATTTTTCTTGATCCAGATGATAATCAAAAACTACATTTTCAATTATTATAATTAACTTTTTCTTCTAATTGATTAGTACGACTACTAATTTTGATGTTCCTTTGATGTTAATTTGTATTAATTCAAACCACTAATTTTTAGGTCCAGAATGAAGCTTTATAGAAGTCCTTTACAGAAGAGTCATAAAAAAACATTCTCTATTCTGTATTTATCACTTTTTTTACATATTTTAGACCACATTACGTATGCTCTTTGATATTTTACTCAAAAGATTTCGATCTTGGCATACAAAACACCTGTTTAAAGTTTATTTTTCATCAAAGGTACACGCATGTCGATATTTTTCAAAAATCAACGCATATTTCACATATTATTCACATACTGTACTTCACTGGTGCATCGTAGAATGAGTGAGGGGTATTTGACGTAGGGGGTGATGGCATGGAAGAAGGCAGTGACGTAGAATGAGGGGGTGTAAGGTAGGGTTTCCTGTCACATTGGTTCGAGATGTTTGACATGCCTCCTCCGTTGCTTGACGGCCTCATCACTGCAAAAAAAAAAGAAAAACTTAGTGTGATTTAATGAACTATAGATAAACTTGTGTTTTAAAGATATACAGTGTGTCCCCGGATTGTCTATCCGGAGAGAAGTATTTAGATAGAATTAGTACACCAAAGAATCTATTACATTAAATGCCGAACGGTTATTTTGCTACTTTTTCGGACTAGTGAAATTGACTCTTAGGGCTCAAACTCACTGACGACCAGGTCGCAACGACCTGGCCGTCGCGTCGGCTGGCCGGATGCATTGCGTTTTTAGCTGCGGCCAGATGAACGACCAGTGTCAACAGAGTTGCCAGATCTAACGATTTTTTACGTTTTACCAATTAGAAAATATTGTTTCAGAAATGTTAAAATAACCGAGTTAACTAAAAAGCGAAGTTGCTATTCACAACAAACAAAAAGTATTATGTACGCGCGACCGACAAAAAGGGAGATATTCTGTTTCTTTTTTCTACTGATATGGCGCCCTTATCGACTTTAGAAGTAAACATATTAGGGCCTATATAAGCAGGTAGAAAGTTTAGCTTCCAGTTATTTCAATGTTTACAATATAACGAAGAATCAACAGTAATTACTTCTATTTTTATGAATGTTAAAGTTACTTTCTTATTATTTTTTTCAAAATAATGTACCTAGTAGAAATATAGTCTAATGAACCCTGTTTGAAAAACGTTAAATTAAATATAATATTTAAAATACAGTTGTCCTCTATGTACAGGGTGGGTCAAATTCGACGCTTTTAAATGGAAACACCTTTTTCTATAGGAGATAGACGAAAACTAATATTGCTGTCTGGAGCTCAATTTTCATCAAAAACATGATGGTGAAAACCGCACATCGATATCTGTTACCGTTTCGGAGTTACGGGGTGTTTTTCAAAAATGTGCATGTTTAAAAAATCGCTGTAACTTTTTTGCTTTGGAAAATTTTGTATTTCTATGAAAACATTTCCCAAGCACCTTTTTACGTAGAATTTAATGGTTTAAGTATAATTTTTTAAAAATTAATAATTTAAGAGTTATCAACAGAAAAATTGATTTTTTATTTGGGACACCGTCTATATTTTTAATTAACTGAAAAGAATTTAAAATTACCTTTCCAAAAATATAGCACACTTGATATTTTGTTATAATCCCCTTCGAAATACAGAATTTTTAAAAGTTCGCCACTTTTAACTAGTAGGCTTTGGACCCCTTATTGATGATATGCCCTTAATGGAACTCGAAAACATATTTTTCCAGCAAGACGACGCACCGCCTCTGAACGCTGAAGTTATCAGCAAATTTTTGCAGCCAGTTTCAAGAATAATTGAATAGCTAACCAAGATCCCAGCCGTTGGCCGTCGAGGCCGCCTGACTTAGTGCCCATGGATCTAATCCTAAGAAGAATAATGGTTCCTTATTCTTCCGTATAATCTAGACAAGAATTAGAAATACTTAGCAGTTATGAGAGGGTATCTTTCACCCCCACTGAGTTAATGAATTCCGCGAGAAATGTTCAAAAACTGCCCGGTCTGTCCATAACAGAAGACGGTCGATATGTCGCAAAATCTGTACATGACTACAATACAACTAAAAAAACAAATTTAATAAAAAAAACAAGTGGTTGTAGAAAAACTTTAAATATTATTTTTTTTATTTTTTACCATCGAAACTCAAAGGTATAATAACAGGTACCATACCAACTATAAATAGAGTAGGTATATCATATAAAAATGTTTTGAGTTTTTACTAGAATCGACCCTTGATAAAAAAAAGGGATTAGATTTAAGTTTACCTTTGATCCAGTCTGTATACTATTTCTTTGGATTCTCTGCACGTGTGAAAAAACTACACTAAAACACTATATCTTATAGAAAATAAAATATTGTGCCTTGAATTTGAGGGATTTCATCTGAAAAATTATTAATTTGGAAGAAAACCGGCAGCAAGCGGCAGAAAATAATAATATTTCCGTGCCACAATCCGTGCAGTCTTCTGGTCGCAACGACCAACGGACGGCCAGGACGTTAGTGCGCGCTATCTCATTTGATTTAATGGTTTTAGAGGTAGGTGCGGCCTGGCCGGTGCGACCTGGTCGTCAGTGTGTTTGAGCCCTATTCAAAGATTCTATCCCTAACAATATTCTTCATCTTAATATTTTGAGGATATTTGACACTGTCGTTATTATTTCGAGCCATAAAACAAGTTTTAACACCATATGGGCTAGAAACTCCACTGTCCCTCGTAAATACGCTATTATTTGTTTTCCTACACCCGTTTTATCTATCTATTCAGCCCAATAAAACGTCAATAAAACCCAGGGAATTTTTCACGAGGCGTTGTCGCAGCTTTTTATATCGTTTTTGGCACCAAACAGGAATTATATATCTTTGCGTGGTGCAGCTTTAAGCTCCCCATACACCCCGGTTATTTTGTTCGGTTTTAACCGTGCAGCTTCCCTCAGGACTTATTGCCTTTTTAATTTTTTTGTGGGAACACCTTCTTAGGTTGTAGATTGTTTGAGAGGGGAAGAGTTAATCACCGCGACCTTATAGATCTATTGTGTCCATTGGCGTAACTACAGGGGTGCACGGGGGTGCCTGCCCCCCCCCCTGGTACTGCTGGGCACCCCCCAGAGAAATCCTGAATTATGACTCTTAGCTACGTATTAATTTTTATTTGCTTGTGATGCAGTAAAAATGACGTTTTCTAGTTTTGTTTAGTTAATATTATTTTGTTGTGTTTAAAAAATGTGTTAATTTTTATTTTTTTAGAAAATTCGTAGGTATTTAAGTAATCTACGGGAACACGGTTTGATAACCAAGTCTATGAAATTTATTGATAGAAAAATTCACGTAAGCGTATTATTATTCACGTATTCATTTTTATGATTTAGTGTGAGTAGATCTTTATTATTTGATTAAATCTAGGATGGCTGTGATATGTCTGACGTTACTTCAACATAGCTTCACCCTTTAACAACTAGTTATCATATTGTGTCACTTAAAATAAATAAAAATCTCAGAAATTTTCCGAACATGGAAACATATCCTACATCAGAGAGAATTGATATGATTCTATTAATTGGTAAATACAGTGTGCATTCACCAATTAATAGAATATTTTAATTGCGATAGTTCCTAAAATAACACACTCATACATTGACGTTTCTGAATTGAACAGTCATGCCTGTTCGGTTAAAACAGAGCGAAATATCCGAAGTGTATGGGGGGCTTTATAGCGACTTACTACTATTTCTCCTCGGCTGGCCACCCACCATGTAACTAACGCATTACGGCGTCAACTGGCCTGTCATCTGTCATGTCGGAACGTCATCTCCGATTACATTGTCAACAGCGGAAGGTCGCGGATCGCAGTAAGCGCCGCCATAAACAAAAGACGATAGCAGGAAAAAAAAACGAACGCGCGGTCTATAGGTGGTACGATTTAAAATGATAAAATGTAAAAATTAAAAAGACTCAAGAAAATTTTGACATTTAATATACAGGACTACATTTACAACATGTAAATTATTTTATATTATATAATATATTTATTAGTCGTACTTTATAATGGCCAATATTAGAATTTAGAATTTAGAATGAGTGGGAGGGGGGTTAATCACTTCGACCTTACAGATCCATTGTGTCCCCCTTTCTTGAATCATAACTCATCATACAGTCCCAGGGCTTTGACAAAAGCCAGTATCTGGGACGGTTTTATAGAGGGTAGTTCTCCATCTCCAATATCAACACCAAAATTCATGGCACGAATATTTGTCGTCTCGGCGCACTCAGTGATGAGGTGTACTGGTGTTTCACCATCTTCCCCTGCATTCGCCGTTTCTTCTTAGTTTCAATCTACTGAGGTGTTCATTGAGGAGACAGTGTCCTGTTAAAACCCCGTGACAATCCGAAGATTGTTCTTACTCAGACCCAGGAAGATCTGTGATTTTTCTTGATCATATGGCCCTCAGAAACTTCTTCGAGTGTCCTAGACCATTGCAAGATTTCCATTCCAGGTTGCGGATGGAATCTTCCAAGTTCTTGAGTTCCGCCTTGAGTTGGTTACCACTTGGAAAGCAGAACGGTTCTGGTCCAGTTAGTGGAGTGTTCGCTCCTTTCCATCTAGATTATTTGCTTTTTCATTGCCTTCTATCCCTTGGTGAGCAGGCACCCAGTGTAGGAGGACTTTGTTTTCTTTGCCTAATTTATTCAGCTTCTCTATGCATTCTTTGACCAATTTCGAATTGATTGATACTGAGTTGATCGCCTTTAACGCTGCTTGACTATCAGATAAGATGGCTATTTCTTGTTTCCGATAGTTCCTATCTAAGTTGTACGCATCTCTCGATAGCGTAGATTTCTGCCTGTAGGATACTAGGTAAAAAATCATTGGTTCCAGTAATTAGCTCTCGGCCCAAACACTCCGATCCCTGTTCCCGTATTGGTTTTGGAAGCATCAGTATACCAAGTTATGGTATGGTCTTTTAACTGCTGGGCAAGCGTTTCGCTCTTCCAATGTACAGGGTCAATGTATGGCCAATATACAGGGTCCGGCAATAGTGCGTCGGGCATCTGTAGCTCCTAGAATAAAAAAAATTGAGAATTTTGATTAAGTGCAAACCTAAAGTATGCGCTAGAATGTATTTCAGGAAAATATTTTAATTTCTATAGAGTGGCTCAAAAAAGTGTGAGTGGATCGGGACGATTTTTTTTAAATGGAACACCCTGTATATTATTGCATTTTTTGCTTCCTTTCAGATCACTTTACTTAATCCTAAGACATGAGTAATTATATTTCGATAATTTCTGAGATATTAATAAATAAATACAAATTATATATTTTTAAGTCTTTCTTAAAAAAATTATTAACAATACCAAGAACTGTCCTGAAATCAAAACTATATTAGATATTTACTTTAGATAGTCTGTACTTACTTTGCTATAAATATGGAAATCGTAAATCATACATTGATGTTTAAATCGCCAAACTTTCTAAAA